GATCTACTTGGATTTTGCCAAGGCATTTGATATGGTTCCTCACAATAGGTTATCCTTCAAACTAAAAGAAATTGGTCTAGATGAATATTCTTGTTCTTGGGTAGAACTCAAGGACCACTCTAGGCACCCAGACCACTTCAGCTTAATGAAGTGGTCTGGGTGCCAGGTCCAGCTAGGTTTAACCCATTTTTTCATAAACATAGCAGTTTCAGAGAAACTGCTATGTTTATGAATGGGTTAAGCCTTCCCCTATTTCCTCTAATGGCTGTCTCATTGACAGCCACTAGAGGCGCTTGCGTGCTTCTCACTGTGATTTTCACAGTGAGAGCACCCCAGCGTCCATAGGAAAGCACTATAAATGCTTTCCTATGTGACCGGCTGAATGCGCGCGCAGCTCTTGCCGCGCGTGCGCATTCAGCCCAGGAGGAGGAACGGAGAAGGATCAGAGGAGAGCTCCCCGCCCAGCGCTGGAAAAAGGTAAGTTTTTACCCCTTTCCCCCTTCCAGAGCCGGACGGGAGGGGGACCCTGAGGGTGGGGGCACCCTCAGGGTACTATAGTGCCAGGAAAACGAGTATGTTTTCTGGCACTATAGTGGTCCTTTAAGGATAGAGAACAACGAATTGTCATTAACGGTAAATTTTCAGGCTGGACAAAAGTGGAAAGTGGTGACCCTCAGGGTTCTGTTTTGGGACCACTTCTATTTAACATATTTATAAATGATCTTGAAATGATCTTGAAATAGGCATTGAAAGCCATGTATCAGTGTTTGAAGATGACACAAAACTTTGTAAAGTAATAACATGTGAGCAGGATATTGCCTTGCTGCAGAGGGATTTGGATAGATTGGGGGACTGGGCACTAAAATGGCAGATGAAATTTAACGTAGAGAAATGCAAAGTTATGCACCTCTGGGTTAAGAATGCACAAGCAACTTACACACTAAATGGTAGTGAATTAGGGATAACCACACACGAGAAGGATTTGGGAATTGTTATAGACAACAAATTAGGCAGCAATATGCAATGTCAATCTGCAGTTGCTAAGGCCAGTAAGATTTTGTCATGTATAAATAGGGGCATAAATTCTCGGGATGAAAATATAATTTTGCCTCTTTATAAATCGCTGGTAAGACCACACCTTGAATATGCTGTGCAATTTTGGGCGCCTGTTCTAAAGAAGGATATCATGGCACTGGAGAGGGTCCAGAGACGAGCTACAAAATTGATAAAAGGAATGGAGCATTTTAGTTATGAAGAAAGGTTAAAAAAATTTAATCTGTTTAGTTTGGAAAAACGGCGCCTGAGAGGGGATATGATAACATTATACAAATATATTCGGGGCCAGTACAAACCTTTATCTGGAAATCTATTCATAAACAGGGCTATACATAGGATATGAGGTCACACATTTAAGCTGGAAGAAAGGAGATTTCATCTAAGGCAAAGAAAAGGTTTTTTTATAGTAAGAGCAATAAGGATATGGAATTCTCTGCCTGAAGAGGTGGTTTTGTCAGAGTCTATACAGATTTTTAAACTGCAATTGGATAAATACTTACAAAAACATAACATACAGGGATATAATTTCTAATTAGTGGGGTAATAGCTGCTTGATCCAAGGAGACATCTGACTGCTATTTTGGGGTCAAGAAGGAAATTTTTCCTAGTTTGTGGCAAAATTGGAAGCGCTTCAGACTAGATTTTTTGCCTTCTTTTGGATCAACAGCAACAACATATGTGAGGAAGGCTGAACTTGATGGACGCAAGTTTCTTTTCAGCTATGTAACTATGTAACTATGTTATGAGTCAAATTACACAGCGTGGGGAAATTCCAAAGAACTTTCCCACGCTGTGTAAAATGACACAGAGCACTCTGATTGGCGGATTTCAAACCAACCAATCAGAGTGCTGTGACAGGTAAATGTAGAGACTTACCTGTCAGTCCCTTCATTTACCTGTCAGAGCACTCTGATTGGATGGCTTAAACCCACCAATCAGAGTGCTCTGAGCCTAATTGCAGGGTGGGGCAAGGCTTTATAAGCCTTCCCCTGCCCGGCAGAGCTCAGTCTGCACGGAGCCCTCCATGGGTGAAGATGGATTATTTAAAAAAAATAAAAAATTAATTGTGTCGGTTATTATGTATTTTTATTTGGCCTTTTTTGGGGTTGAAAAAGGAAGATTTTAGAAGAAAGAAAATATCGAATTGTAAGTTTTTTTTTTTTTTTTTTACTGGTATTTAGTTAAAGGTCCCCCCCTTATTATTTTTAGGGTGAGGGGGGTAGGTAGGGGGATAATTTTTTTGGGGGGGGAGGGGGTGCCTAGGGGTTTGGGGACCCCTAGTCACCTGGGGGGGACATTTTTTTTTAGGGCCCCCACCCTGGGGGGGGGGCATTTTTTTTAGGGCCCCCGCTCAGGGGTGGGGGCCTGGGGGGAGGACAATAGGTCCCCCCTATTGGTATTTAGGGCCCCCACCCACCGCTCAGGGATGGGGGCCATGGGGGAAGACATTAGGTCCCCCCTTATTATAATTTAGGTCCCCCACCCACCGCTCAGGGGTGGGAACCAGGGGGGAGGACATTTGGTCCCCCCCTTATTAGTATTTAGGTCCCACCCCGCCGCTCAGAGGTGAGGGCCAGGGGGGAGGACATTAGGTCACCCCCTTATTCCAATTTAGGGCCCCCTCCCGCCGCTCAGGGTTGGGGCCCAGGGGGGAGGACATTAGGTCCCACCCTTATTCCAATTTAGGGCCCCCACTCGCCGCTCAGTGGTGGGGGCCAGGGGGGAGGACATTAGGTCCCCCCTTATTAGTATTTATACTCCCCACCCACCGCTCAGGGGTGGGGGCCGGGAGGAGGACAATAGGTCCCCCCCATCATTTTACTTTAGGGCCCCCACCCGCCGCTCAGGGGTGGGGGCCAGAGGGGGCAATAGGACCCTTTAAAAAAAAAAAAAAAAAACTGTGAGCAGCCACAGGCTGCTCACTGTTTAATAGACATGCCCCTACATGCGGTATAGTGAGTAGGGGCAAAATTTACTAATAGTAAATAATTTATACTTAGTATTAGTAAATTTGGCTGAAAGACTGTAGCCGATGGCATTGGGCTGTCCTCAAGAATTTGTGGGAAAAATTTATTTGTGTAATTATTCCCATGTATAACTGTAAGTGTATGTAGCTTTCGTCTGCTTGTTCGGTAGTTTTCCTTCTGTTTTTATACGAATGAAACTACTGAACAATCAGACCACCCCAGTGAGAAGTGTGTACCTTCACACTTTGTAACCGCAGCTTAATTGACCATGAAATTTCTACTTTATGTGTATTTGTGTGGTCGCCGTTCGGAATACGAACCGCGTGGCGGCGGCCATCTTACGCAAGAAAATATCAGCGGTGTTTGGTTGTCGAGTGTCTGGAACTCAAATCGGAAACTCAAACACCCGAACACCGCTGAGACCTCCAGAGCTCCATAACTCACGACCGGAGGGGCCGAACAAGGGAATAGAAACATAGAATGTGACGGCAGATAAGAACCATTCGGCCCATCTAGTCTGCCCAATTTTCTAAATTCTTTCATTAGTCCCTAGCCTTTTCTTATAGTTAGGATAGCCTTATGCCTATCCCACGCATGCTTAAACTCCTTTACTGTGTTAACCTCTACCACTTCAGCTGGAAGGCTATTCCATGCATCCACTACCCTCTCAGTAAAGTAATACTTCCTGATATTATTTTTAAACCTTTGTCCCTCTAATTTAAGACTATGTCCTCTTGTTGTGGTAGTTTTTCTTCTTTTAAATATAGTCTCCTCCTTTACTGTGTTGATTCCCTTTATATATTTAAATGTTTCTATCATATCCCCCCTGTCTCGTCTTTCCTCCAATCTATACATGTTAAGATCCTTTAACCTTTCCTGGTAAGTTTTATCCCGCAATCCATGAACCAGTTTAGTAGCCCTTCTCTGAACCCTCTCGGTATCAATATCCTTCTGAAGATACGGTCTCCAGTACTGTGTACAATACTCCAAGTGAGGTCTCACCAGTGTTCTGTACAATGGCATTAGCACTTCCCTCTTTCTACTGCTAATACCTTTCCCTATACAACCAAGCATTCTGCTAGCATTTCCTAAGTTTAGTAATGGAAGAAAATATTGTGTCCTGCAGTCTTTACAAGAGGCCTGCATGGGGTTAAGCTCCTCCTTTGGTCAAAGAAGGTCAAGCATAGGAAAAATACATACTACAAACTACTTTGTCTTATGTTTTAAAGAAACCAAGATGAGAACAGATTCTGAGAGAGGGCGAGAAGAGGAAGCGATTGGGGAAAGGTACGTTTGGCATGACAGTGCAGGTTTAAACTAAAGTTGTTTTGATGACTATAGTGTCCCTTTAATGTACAGTATACAGCTATACAGTAAACATGCTGATTGTCTAGGGCAGCATTTGGCTCCACCCCCGGTTCACCTCCTTGGCTGAGATAATCAGAATTGACAATCTAAGCCAATCCAATGTTTTCATCACTTCTGAGGATGTCAGCCAAGGAGGCGGATCAGGGATAGGGCCAGTACACATGGACTGGAATAAAGGTAAGATTTTACTATATTTAAGGCGGGGGCAGATAGTGTTTTTAACACTATGGGATCAAAAGTACATGTTTGTGTTACTGACCCTGCATGTCCTTTAAAATTAATTCACCTGCTCTTTGAAGGCAAATCTATTATTTGTTGCCCTGCAATAAATTTTGTTCGGGCTGCATGTGAAGTCTGTGATTGGACAGTCACAGAAAGTCTGGGCTGGGTTAGAAGTGGAGAGCTTGCAGTAGCTGCAGTGGGAAGTCTGTGATTGGACAGTCACAGAAAGTCTGGGCGGGGTTAGAAGGGGAGGGTTTGCAAGGGTTGCAGACAAAAGATCTGGGCAGTTGCTGTCTCTTGAGTTTTTTTCCACTAATCTAAACAAAACAGGAAATAACAGGGCTGGTTGAATGATTGACAGTCAGGGGGTTTAACAAGGTTCATTTCTAAAAGTGCCAATTTCTATTGAAATCGAGGAATGAAAAAGAAGATGCACTTTTCACACATAAAACATTTCGCTATAGTGCTTTATGGGTCTGAAGTATCCCTCTAAACCCAAAGGAAAATTTGAAGACCCGTACTCTAACAGGGACAAACCTCTGCCTTTCTATGGGATATCTTCTTGTCTTCTTAGAAACGGCATGCTCCTGATGTTCGCAAAAGCTGCTGCTTGATGTAAAATAAAATTACAAACATGTTCCTGATCCCTTCCACATCCAAGGCGACAGCCCCCAAAGTCCCCCTGTGGCATTCAGACAGGCTGAAATCGCTGCACCCAACCGAAGGTGGAGGCTGCCAACATTGTCCTAAATTTGCAGTTGCAATGCCTTGGATGGACAGAGATCATTTTAGCAAATTCAGACCAGAGGCACGAGGACAGAATAACCCAGTGAGTTGCTCTTCGCAACATCAGCCACTGTTTGATTTCTCTGTTAGAATTAAAGAATACTATAGTGTTAGGAATAAATGTTTGTACAGGTTTCTATTCATAATGACAGTGTCCCTTTCCCTAACGTATTAGGTCACCTCTGCTGCCTGGCATGTAAAGGTTAAAACCCCCTATTTTACTCACCCTAATTCCAGAGCAGTGACTTCCTTAGCACTGGATAGGTCTCATCAGGGCCGGACTGGGAAGAAAATTCGGCCCGGGCATTTTTTAATTACAGCGGCCCACTAAAAAGGGGGCGGGGCCAGATAGGGTGTGTTTTGACAAGCACGCCCCATCACAAAGTGAGCATGTTGGTTCAATGCTCTTCCAGGGTAGACCATGTGCAGAGCTCTGCTGAAGAGCTCTGGCATGAGAAAAATACCCTGTATTTGTTCTGCACAGGGCAAGCAAATTTAATAACATGCTTGCACTGTGTTTGCTTGAAATTTGTCTCTGGTGTCTCCATAGTTGGGATACCAGGAGACAAAAATGCCAGGAAAGCATATTGCGCAGTGTGTGTGAGGGTGCTCTGTGTGTGTGTGTGTGGGGGTGTGTGTGTGTGAGAGAGGGGTGCAGTGTGTGTGTGAGTGATGGGTGCTGCGTTTGCGTGAGGGTGCTATGTGGGTAAGGGTACTGTGTGTGGGATGGGTGCAGTGTGTGTGTGCTGTGTTTGAGTGGGTGCTGTGTTTGCATGAGGGTGCTATGTGCATGTGAGGAAGCTGTGTGTGAGGGTGCAGTGTATGCATGTGAGGAAGCTGTGAGTGTCAGGGGTGCAGTGTGTGTAAGTGAGGGTGTGTGATGTGCGTGTCAGGGGTGCAGTGTGTGTGTGAGGGTGCTGTGAGTGTCAGGGGTGCATGTGTGTGTGTGAGGGTGCTTTGCGTGTCAGGGGTGCAATGTGTGTGTGTGAGGGTGCTGTGAGTGTTAGGGGTGCATTTTGTGTGTGCTGTGAGTGTCAGATGTGTAGTGTGTGAGTGAGGGTGCTGTGAGTGTCAAGGGTGCAGTGTGTGTGCTGTGAGTGTCAGGGGTGCAGTGCGTGTCAGGGGTGCAGTGTGTGTGTGTGAGGGTGCTGTGAGTGTCAAGGGTGCAGTGTGTGTGCTGTGAGTGTCAGGGGTGCAGTGTGTGTGTGTGAGGGTGCTGTGAGTGTCAGGGGTGCTGTGTGTGTGCTGTGCGTGTCAGGGGTGCAGTGTGTGTGTGTGAGGGTGCTGTGAGTGTTAGGGGTGCATTTTGTTTGTGCTGTGGTGTCAGACGTGCAGTGTGTGAGTGAGGGTGCAGTGCGTGTCAGGGGTGCAGTGTGTGTGTGAGGGTGCTGTGAGTGTCAGGGGTGCAGTGTGTGTGCTGTGAGTGTCAGGGGTGCAGTGTGTGTGTGAGGGTGCTGTGAGTGTCAGGGGTGCTGTGTGTGTGCTGTGTGTGTCAGGGGTGCAGTGTGTGTGTGAGGGTGCTGTGAGTGTCAGGGGTGCATTTTGTTTGTGCTGTGTCAGAGGTGCAGTGTGTGTGAGGGTGCTGTGAGTGTCAGGGGTGCAGTGTGTGAGTGTCAGGGTGCAGTGTGTGTGTGTGTGTGTCAGGGGTGCAGTGTGTGAGGGTGCAGTGTGTGAGGGTGCTGTGCGTGTCAGGGGTGCAGTGTGAGGGTGCTGAGTGTCAGGGGTGCAGTGTGTGTGTGAGTGTGTGCAGTGTGAGGTTGGGGGTGCAGTGAGGGGTGCTGTGGAGGTCAGGGGTGCAGTGTGTGTGTGAGTGTCAGGTGCAGTGTGTGTGTGTCAGGAGTGCAGTGTGTGTGTGAGTGTCAGGGTAGTGTGTGTGTGAGGTGTCAGGGGTGCAGTGTGTGTGAGTGTGTGTCAGGGGTGCAGTGTGTGTGTGTGAATGTCAGGGGTGCAGTGTGTGTGAGTGTCAGGGGTGCAGTGTGTGTGTGTGACGGTGCTGGGAGTGTTAGGGGTGTCTGTGAGGCTGCTGTGCCCTGATTATATCCCCCCTCCCTGCTTACCTTATGCCTGGGAGGGGGGATCCTGCTGCTGGGGCTGCCATCCATCCCTGGTGGTCCAAGTGGTGAGTGAACTCTAGCCTGGTGGGCTAGAGTTCACTCTCGCGAGACCCGGAGCGTTGCCAATCTCGCGAGAGGAACCCAGCGGAGCTGTAAGTTAAAGCTCCGCCGGGTTCCTCTGCTGGCAGGCTGGCTCCCTCCCTCTCTCCCCCAGCGGCCGCAGTATTCTCTATGTGGGCCGGTGAGGGAGATCTCTGATCTCCCCACCGGCCCGCTGTAGACTACTGCAGGGCCGGCACTATCTGTGATTTGCCCGCAGGGCCGGCAGGAGAGATCCTGTGATTTGCCCGGTGTGCCCGATGGCCAGTCCGGGCCTGGGTCTCATCCTCCCGCAACGTCACAGAGCTTGTCTAACTTAATGCGCATGACAAGATAGGCGGATGGTTTTTATCTGCCGTCACATTCTATGTTTCTACGTTGCGGTTCTCGCCATGTGCATTAAGACTTTCCAATAGAATCAATGCATTCCTATGGAGAATTTTAAGACAATAGATGTCCCTATGCAAGGCTTTGTTATGGAGCAGGAAGCGCTGCTGGTAGCTGTCTGAAAGGCTACATTAGAGGTAGATTTATCCCTGCAATGTAAGTTTCTCAGAAATGAAGTTTTACATCGCAGGGTTAAACCGACAGCAGCACTGCACTGTCGGTAGTTCGGTGAGATGGAATGGTCTCTGTGTCTATAGTGTGCTCCATCCTAATAGAATCTGCTTCTCTCACATTCCTGAGTTATGAGTGGAATTAACCACTGAATCAATCAGTCTAATGCCATCTGTACCTCTAACTTCCCAGCATTATAATCAGATTGTTGTGCCTCACCCGAAGCACAGGCATTCAAAGTTGCAGATCTAATGTGTGTGTAACAACTTCAATATATACAAATGATCATTTGAAAATATAAATGCTGTCACAGCACATAT